GAAGGAAGGAAGAAAGAAAGAAAGAAAGAAAGAAAGAAAGAAAGAAAGAAAGAAAGAAAGAAAGAAAGAAAGAAAGAAAGAAAGAAAGAAAGAAAGAAAGAAAGAAAGAAAGAAAGAAAGTCCTAATGGGAAAAACCAAGGTAGTCTGCAGTACATTTCATAGCTTGCTATACCCTGGGAATTTCTCATTTCCAGCTGTTACCGCCTTTGGAATGTTGTAGCTTTGTTGAAAATACTGTTTTTCGTTTCCCCACCACCAAAATCAAAATGTAATCTTTGGTTGATACCAAGTTGTAGCAGAATAACCGCAGCTTGAAAGTAACTAGGCGCATTATGAACGGTCAAAATCTTGACAGACGTTTTGACAGGAATGTTTCAAATTTTAAGCCATTCTGTTATTTATTTAGTTAAATTCTGAACGGTCCATTTGACCAGTGGTCACTCTGGGGGTGTACAACATAGTATAATCAACATGAATCTATAATTCAACAAACAGTTAATATAAATTAAAATCAAAATAAAATCAGGCAGTAGTTATAGATGTTATCTGTCCTAAATTGCAACTGTAGTGTTGGTGGGGTTTTTTTTCATCTTCTGCTTGTGCAAGTATTTTTTAAGGAGCTAACCCTAAACCTAACCCTATTTTAAGGTATTTCAAAATATCCAAATTCTACCCTACAGGGAAGCAGAGAGTTTTCTCCTGTGTTTTTCTGGCATGCTGGCAATGGCAGTGCAAGGCAACACAATGGATTAATTTTTTGTAAACAGAGAGATAAGAATGATAGCTTGGTTGTCACAAAGAAGTAGTGAGTGTCAAAACACATTTGATACTTTGAACATGATTGGTATTCAGGGACCTGATTTCAGGGAATAGGGGGAGAGCCATCCACTTTTCAGAAACCAAACAGAAATCATAACCTCACAAATCCACTTAAAGACCAAAAAACTAAATCCGAGTCTTTGATGAGAAGAGTGGGAGAATATAAAACTATTTCAAGGAAGAAATTCCCTTAATCAACCTTAAATCGAAGGGATTGAATTTCCTTCAGAGCAACATGTTTACAAATCGGAAATATTAATGGTATTATCTTAAGCCTTTGGTCCTCTTGGTCTGTTAAGAATTAAGCTGTTACACTTGACAATAGAAGAGCTTTTAATCTGATAAAACTGAAAAAATAATAACTGGGGAACATATTAAACTGAATGCATCAGCATTAAATAACAAGATTGTAGGGCATGAGGAGTTACAAATGTAGCTCCTAAGAATGAAAATTAAAAAATGTGTTTAAGCTTTTTATCTTTGTGGTCCAGTGAAAGAACTCTTTTATCATCTCAAAAGCATTATTAATTGAATGAAAATATTGTGTTACTTCTTCCTTCTTTTTATATTATAAAAAGTGGATGTTATTCACCTCTAGCTCTTGAGGTCAATGTGAATTTTCTTTTTTCATACGGCAGTTGTGTTAAAAAGGTGGGAAGGGAGAGACTACTCAAACCTCTAACTATCTGGGCCATCGACATTTCTGATTGGAACATACAGCTACTATAAAAGTGGCTGCTATAATGATAACAGTGGAGTTGCTGCCTATTTCTCTTATTTGTGAATAGAGAAATCATTGCCGATGTGGCAACTGATGACGTTGTATTTTATTTTTGCTTGACATTTGGGTACTTTGGTGCATTGTAGCGCATTTTCAATAGTGGCTTCAAAGGCTTGGCACTAGATTGTGGAAGCTACCAAGGACACAGTGGCCTTGTAGGCCCGTTCCAAATCAATTATTCTATGATTCTGTGACTATACTGGTGTTCTGGCAGATGCCCAGTGTTGCTGATTTGACACTTGTTGGCAGCATTGTGGAGGACCTAGAGTTGTGTAGGGTCGGCACACAGGAACTTTCTGAGTAACAGAGACTGTGACATAATCTGTCACTCAAATTGGGCTTCCATATTCCTTTTGAGTTTGCTTGTTTGTTTATAATAAATATTATTTATTTATTTTATTGGACTTCTACCCCACCCATCTCAACCAAAAGTCTACTCTGGGCGGCATTACAAATTTAAAAACAGTGAAACGCCCAATAAATATATAGCTTTGGTGCAATTCTCAAAGTATCTGGAAGAGAAATGGACTTTCCTACATCCATTGTATTGTTGCAAACTATCCTTGTAATGCAAAGTAGTTGTAGATGAATTGATTCTGAATGGGCAATTAAGAGCCATTAACTGTGCAAAAGATATGCTCCTCAGTTGTTACTATGGTCTGATCCAGCTGCCTGTATCATTTGGATTTTGTGTGGTGGTGGTGGTGGGGACTTATTGGATGCGTGAGGGTTTTATTTTGTTTTATCTTATACCATCAACGGACATGATAGACATAATGATGAGACAAATCCTTATCCTGAGAGGGCTTTATGGTTCCAGTTTTTTAACATATAAGGAAATACTAAGGAGAGAGCAGGCGAGAAAAACAAGAATGTATTCGCGAAGGCTTTCACGGCCGGGATCTAATGGTTGTTGTGGGTTTTTCGGGCTCTTTGGCCATGTTCCGAAGTTTGTTCTTCCTAACGTTTCGCAACAGCACTCTGTGCTCTGGTGTAGTTGGCTTGGGAGTGCAGTATTTATGGCTGTGAGATAGGCTTTTGTCTTTTTCTGTAGATGAGTGATTAGTGTGTCTTGTTGTGGCTGTATTGTTGTGCTAAGGAGGAGAGATTATTTGTCACTGTGATTGATGGGTGTCATTAGCTGGTCTTTTGTGTGTAGTCCTCTGAAGATGTTGGCCACAGAGACTGGCGAAATGTTAGGAAGAACAACCTTCAGAACACGGCCAAAGAGCCCGAAAAACCCACAACAACCAAAAACAAGAATATTTGTGAATGCAGTTCTACTTAGACTTCTCTCATATTAGGATAGGCTGTGGGTCAAAATAAATGTTATGGTGAAACTGTCATTAGAATGGAGCTCCCTCTGAACGTTATATTCTTTTGCTTATCCTCATGGTGCAGTGGTTAAACTGCAGTGAAGACTGCTCACAACCTGATATTGATTGTGGTGATCTCAGGTTACGCAAGGTTGTCTCAGGCTTCCATCCTTCTGAGGCTGGTAAATTTGAGTACCGAACTTGCTGGGTTGGGTGAGAATGTGTTGTCTGCATAATTAAATTGTAAACTGCCCAGAGAGTGCTTTAAGAACAATGGGGCAGTGTAAAAGCAGCACAATTTATTCTAATGTAAGAACTGGATAGCTCAATGATTTAGGTATCTGGCTACAGAGCCACAGGTTGGGAGTTTGATTCCTCACTGTGCCTCCTTGACAGGGGCTGGACTTAATGATCCGTAGGGTCCCTTCCAGCTGTGCAATTCTAAGATGGTGATGATGATGATGATTTCTCAGCTTCACACATTGCAGATTCACTTTGCTTCTGATTGGTGATAGGTTCCATTTGCGAGACGTAGCATGCAAAATAGAAACTTAAAGAATTGGGTCTTTCTAGCGAAATGTGTTATCATCAACTTCCACGTTCAGGTGAAAGGAAGAATTCTTACCACACAGTCACATATCAGAGAAATTAGAGAGTGGAAGGGCTGAAGAACATGACCCCAAGACATGCTTTCCAGAGTTCTTTGGGGACTTCCGAGGAGTAGATTGGATTCTGATGGGTAGATGGGATGTCCTGAGCAACCAGGACAAGGGTGGGCAGTGTGGATCAATGGTTCACAGCGTTGGGTCCCCAGATATTCTTGGACTAAAACCCTGAAATCCTGGCCAGCACAGTTCGTGATGAAGGCTTCTGGGAGTTTTAGTCCAAGAACATCTGGGGATCTAAGATTGGGAACCACTGTTCTAGAAGTTGAGGAACTTTATACAATCCATGCTAGATCTCATGGGGAACTAGCCCCTTAGAATGTTTGGGGAAGTGTTGGTGTGAGGACTGTGGGGTTCAGGAGGGTTGTGCCCATCCAGATCTAGGGCAGTGATGGTGAACCTTTTTGACCCTGAGTGCCCAAACTGCAACAAAAAAACCAACCACAACCATCTTGAAGAGTCCCACTTCTCCGCCCGCACAACCTTTAGTGCCTGCCTGGAACATCCCCCACTCTGCCTGAAGCTGCAGTCCTTAAAGGCATAGGTGGGAGGAGCCAGGTGTTTTCATGCCTGGCGTCCGAGTGTGTGTGTGTGTGTGTGTGTTTGTGGCAGTGACGGCCATTACCGTCTTGACTTTCCCTTCCTTCCCAAGAGTTATTCCCAAAATCTAGGGTTGGAGGACGGGAAAGTATTTCTTGATGACGATTTATGGCTCAAATGCCTATAGTGAGGGCTCTGCATGCCAGTGGTGGCAGGTGTGTCGTAGGTTCGCCATTGCTGATCTAGAGCAGTGATGATCAGGAGAGAGAGGTGGTGGTGATGGTAGCCAACTGCCGGACTTATGACTCCGGTGAAAAAGAAGCGGGGGAGTTTAGGACAGCAAAACTCCCAAGAGATGGAGAATCGCTGATCTGAAACAGGTCAGAGAGTTTAAAACCCTCTGATTTATAAGCAGATGGCACTTAAAGAAAGGGATATTGAGTTATGTGTGTGTTTTATACAACTGCTTGTTCATGTTTCCAGGACAGAAAGAATTAAACAATTAAAATATAAATGCAAATGCAGTTGGGTTAAGAAAATAATAAACTGACCTGTTCAGCCTTTACCTAAGATTGTTGTTTTTCCTCTGTAGGTTTGAAACCTTTGAAGTGAACAGCTTCGAACAATTCTGCATCAACTACGCCAATGAAAAGTTGCAACAGCAGTTCAACTCGGTAATTTGGGCCTTAGAACTTTTTTTTTCTCAATAACTTTGTCTGGGGGTAGGGGGAAATACGTCAAAAATCATCAGACCCTGGCCTTCAGTTTCAATATGAAGAAGGCAAAGGGCTCCCCATAATATTGTAATTAACATGCAGCAGTTTATTGCTGTTTACATATGACCTATTTTGTCTTCCTTGATATTAGCATTTATTAAGTATGTTTAAAAACATGCAGAAACACTCAATATTTATAAATGGTGTTGCTATATTATTTGTACTTATTTGAATTCAAGAGTGCCTTCCATCAATTTAATCTACGAGGTAGCTTCAGCAAATGTTGATTTACTTCCTGAAATCATCTTCAGCATTCACGTTATTTCAAACATAATCCCAGTTTCCTGATTATATAGTTTAACTATAACATTTTCCTGTGTCTTCCTTTAAACCATCAGTGGAATCACATGAGATGACAAAGTACAGTGGTGCCTCGCTTGACGAGGATAATTCATTCCGTTGAAATCGCTGTTAAGCGAAATCCTCATCAAGCGAAACGAAAAAGCCCATTGAAATGCATTGAAACCAGTTCAATGCATTCCAATGGGATAAATACCTCAGCGTCCAGCGAAGATCCTCCATAGGGGCAGCCATTTTTAGTGCCTGTAAAGCGAGGAATCCATCCTAAAACACAGTGGGGAGCCATTTTACACAGCAACTTCCATGTATAGGGACATTATATTCTTTGGTTCTCAGCAAGTAGATTGTAGTCATAGATTGCAATCTCTGAAACTAAATACACCTTATAATTCCATAGCTTGTAGAACCACCTTTAGCAGCAATAACTTGAAGTAAATATTTTCTGTACAGTGGTGCCTCGCTTAGCGATGTTAATCCGTGCAGAAAAATTGCTGCTAAGCGAAAATAAAAAGCCCATAGAAATGCATTAAAATGCGATTAATGCGTTCCTATGGGCTAAAACCTCACCTTTAAGCGAAGACCCTCCACAGCGCCACCTGAAAACAGCAGGCGGCCATTTTGTTTACCCGGCGGCCATTTTGAAACCGCCGATCAGCTGGCCAAAAATGGGGGCTTTGCAATGATCGCTTCCCTGCGATCATCGCAAAGCGAATTTCCCCCATAGGGACCATCGCAAAGCGATTGCTTTTGCGATGGCAAACAGTCCATCGCAAAGCGATTTCGTAGCTATATGGAACAATCGCTATGCGAGGCACCATTGTATAACTATCATTTTCTCATATCGTTGTGGAGGAATTTTGGCCCAACTTTCTTTACAACTTGCTTCAGTTCAATGAGGTTTGCGGGCATTTGTTTATGCACAGCTCTCATAAGGTCCCATCACAGGATTTCAATTGGGTTGAGGTCTGGACTTAGACTGGGCCATTGCAACACCTTGATTCTTCTCTTTTCTAGCCATTCTGTTGTAGATTTGCTGGTGTACTTGGGATCATCGTCCTGTTGCATGACCCAATTTCAGCCTAGCTTTACCTGTCAGACAGATGGCCTCACATTTGACTCTAGTATACTTTAGTGTACAGAGGAGTTTATGGTCGACTCAATGTCTGCAAGGTGCCCAGGTCCTGTGGCTGCAAAACAAGTTCAAATCATCACCCCTCCACCACTGTGCTTGACAGTTGGTATTAGCTGTTCGTTCGTGCTGATATGCTGTGTTTGGTTTTCGCCAAACATGGTGCTGTGCATTATGGCCAAACATCTCAACTTGGGTCTTGTCTTTCCAGAGGACATTGTTCCAGAAATCTAGTGGGTCGCCCAAATACAACTTTTCATGTTTGGCTTTCTTTTTGTTAAATAAATCACAACACATTGTATATGTTGTGTGTTGTTGTTCATCTGAGGTTGTATTTTCCTAATTTTCGGACCTACTAACGACCTGATGATTTTCATTATGTCCTGATATGTAAAAGCATAGAATTCAAAGAGGGTGTACTTTCTTTTTCACATGACGGTACAAATGCAGATAACGTGAATTGGGCCAAACCCATGTTTAATCCGGGAACTGATTAAATAGCTTCTTAGGCTGTCTAAAAGTCTACTAGACTCAAGAGAATGTTTTTAGCTTATCCTCCAATTAGTCATTCCTAAATACAGGTGGATTTTTACTGTCTGTTTCTGTTGCAGCATGTATTCAAATTGGAGCAAGAAGAATACATGAAGGAGCAAATTCCTTGGACACTCATAGATTTTTATGATAACCAGCCATGCATAGACCTTATAGAAGCCAAGCTGGGTATTTTGGACTTGCTGGATGAAGAATGTAAGGTAAAAAGAACAAAATGCATTGTCAATGTTCTGTGATTAAATTAAAGGGAAGTAGAACTAAATCCAGGCATTCATTGAAAGTAGGCCTGTTGAGTCCATGAGAGGAATGATGGTATTTACTCTGCATCTAAGCCCTTCAGGTACAAGAATATCACCTTAAGCAATAAAGTTTAAAAGCTGTTTTTCTTTTTCTTTTAAATCTGTCTTTGCTATTACCATTATTTACCAGCGATAAATAGCAGGGCAACAACAGCAGCATTTAAAAATCATCCCCTGGATAATAATCCATCTCCTGCGTACCTTTTATTTAGTTTCCTGCCTCACACTTTAAGAATTTATGCTCCACTCTTTGCATAGATGTTTTTATTTCAGATGTAACGAGGAATATAATAAAGTCAATAATGAAATTATGGGAATGCATTAAAAAGGCAGTCAAAGTATCAGCCACTTAGCGAGGGGTATTTAAAGGCCTGTGAGAATAAAAGCAGAAAAAAAGAGGGGGGGAGAAGAAAAGCATGTGACTTATATACTACAGTACAGATGAAAAACAGTTTGAGAATATTCTGTACTCCAATTTTGGAGATCCAGGTGCTAATCCGTGATCCACAAAACCCATAGTGAAAGTATACGTCACAGATAACATGTCTTCAGAAGGGGAAATAATTTTAAGCACTGAAAGATGTCTGACATCAGAGGAGAAACTTTTCACACTCCCTATAATATGCCAAACAGCTTCCTTTGTTTTGTGATCAGTCACTGGGAGGTTAATTCTGGCTTTGTTCGCCGGTGTTATTCCTCATGACTGAATGGCATCTTTGGAACCCTAACTTGAGTTCAGCTGTTAGCAAGCTGCTTTCGGTACCATGTAGTTTGACCCTCACTAGGTGAGCTTGAGCGCGTCGCTCTGTCTCTCAGGAGGCATTAACGAGTAATTCAGGAAATGCTCTCGGACTGGGACAGTCTGATTCATATGGTTTCCCACTGACATCACGACGTTCAAGTCGATGCAAATCAGCCCAGTGTTTTCCCCCCAGTGTGTACTTTTTTCCTCCACTGCTGGAGCTTCTACTTTAAAAAAAACCAAAAGAATTTACATCAGTTCAGGCAGTGTGGTTGCTTGAGCTGATTCAGGGAACAGAAGTAGGTTCTTCCAGCTTCCTTGTTCAAAGAGGGGAGAGAGACCAAAGCAAAGGGGCATTTGTGGGGGTGTCAATGCCTCTCAATTGAGCACCCCTTGTCTCCAAACTATTTTCAAAGGGCTTGGTGGCAGCATTGGCGTGCTAGAGCACCTGGAGACCAAAGGGGTGGGTGGGTGAGAAAGCCTGAGGAGTCAGTAGAGATCAAGGAATAAATTGTTAATTAGCAGCTTGTTAAGATTGCTGTTTGCAGCTTGCTAAAGTAGCTCTGCTCCAGCTGTTCCTCCTGCAGATCTGGATGACCACAGCAGAGCCACCCTCACAAACTGCAAAGAAGATGATTGTCATAGTTGTTATGGGTTTTTCAGGTTCTTTGGCCATGTTCTGAAGGTTGTTCTTCCTGACGTTTCGCCAGTCTCTGTGCCCAGCATCTTCAGAGGACTGGAGTAGGAACTCTGTCCATGCTCTGTTGCTGTTTGTTGGATAGTTGAGTGTTTATAGCTGTGGGAACAGCTTTTGTCTTTTTTTCAGGAGATAGGGTGATCAGCGTGTTTTTGTTGTGATAAGGGGGAGAGATTATCTGTCGGTGTGATTGATGGGTATCGTTAGCTGGTCTTTTTTGTCACTTTCCTTCTCTTTACTGACTAGTGTGTGATTGACTACAACAAATTGCAGCTTTGCTACAGGCAGCACCATGCCTTGGGTTGGAGCTATATGATGGGACCAATTGATCTAAATCCAGTTGCTGGTCTCAGTTAGAGTAGAGCCATGAATCAATGAATACTAGTTCAACATTTCCATAAATACCCTCGATTCATTGGTTCTACTCTAGCTGGAAGGAGCAGTTGGATTTAGGACATTGTGTTTTAGAAGTAAAGGAGAAAGTATGCATTTTGGTGCAAAGTAGCTGAATAAACTTAGTTATTAACGACTGTAATAAACTTTAGAAAAGTGTGATTAATGCAATCCTGTCAGATCTTCACATTACAAGGATACCTGAGTAAGTAAATAACCACAGGGTAGCTTATATTTCTGACATGCAGAAACTATCTGGAAATGTTTTTAAAAATTTTCTCTGTTCAGTGCAATAATTAAAAAGAAAATAAGAGAGCTGTTTGAATGTTGTATGAAATTATGGAACAGAGAGAAGATGCCTGAAAAGTTACTGCTGAAAGATGTGTTTTTCCTCATCTGTTTATTTGTCCTTTGGGTAATTAAGACATGTTGTGTTTTTACACCCACAACTGTTACTTATCTGGCTGGAATAAAAGATTTGACCTGAATAAATCAACTTTATACTTAATTTCTGCAGTATTTATTTAGTGCTTCTTTATGCAACAGTGACCTCATCAAAAAAAGTCATGATGCTAACAAAAGTTGTAAGGAGGGGGGGAGAAATTAAATATAAAACTAGAAAACCCTTCAACTATTTATCCTCAAGATACGGGAAGATGACCCAATAGAAACGGTGCTCCATCTTGCTTTTATCATCAAGCATGCTGTTGTTGTTGCTGCAGTATTGCCCTCCTATGATAGGAGTCTTATGTTCCAGCCCTGAATATCTTCCCCTTTGTTAAAGGGAGAAATATCCGACTCAGGTACCCTAGAATCCTTTTGTGACTATGACTTCAGTTTTGCGCAGCAAGGAAGGCAAAGCACAAGATGTTTAGATTTTTACATCACATTAGAAACTTTTCTTCCACTTTGTTAAGGCTAGAACCTGTTTTTATCCACTGCAGCTGATTAGGGAGACATTTGAGACGTCACTTTTCACAGAATGGAGATTTAGTGGATGTTTAGGTGGTGGAATTCAGGGCCCTACGATGTAGCAACGGCTACCAGCTCAAATGGATTTAAAGATGAATTAAACAAATTCATGAAGGTTCGGGCCATAAGTAGGTGCTAGTGATGATGATGATGTGTGTGTTATAATGTGCTATCAAGTTAGAACTGAGTCTTTATGGCTGAGAGTGAGTCCATCACTCTGTCCATTACACTACATTGGTGGTAACGACTAGTGATAATAGCTTTACATATATTGCCGCAAGTATCGGAGGCAGTATGACTTTTTCAGTTTCTGTTGAACATGAGATGGAGCATAAAACTGCAGTCACACAACTGCTTTTGGAGATCACATCTGGATTAGTGACGGTGTAAACAGAATGTTATGCTAGTTCTGGAACAGTCTGACCCAGCTTGGCTTTTCCTATATCCTGATAATCCTAATTCCAGAGAATTGGAGAGAAGGAGGAAGTAGAAATCCTATCTGATGGCCCTTCACTGATCTGACCTTCATCAACATAGACTCATATTCCAACACCTGGATATCAGACAGAATGAGCGTTTGAGTGATTGCTCATAGTCTAGTCAACTTACTGTTTGCAGGATCTGCCTGATCCCATCTGCTTGTGTGTAGGACTGAACGTATGCTACTGAGTAGTGGTGACAGTCATGGGTTAGACAGACAACTGCTCAGACTGAGAGTAACATTGTGTGTAGCCCAGACTCCCAAATGCAAAATTCATATGTACCATGTGAGCTGTGAAAAGTCTACATTTCTGCTTTCCCATTTCAGGTTAATAACAGAAGTGACCAGGTTGTCTATTTTCTTATACATTCATATGCCTTTCGTGCCTACAGTATTGTGGTATGCCTTTACAGTATTTTGTTTTTGGGCAAATGTGAGAGAAATAGGGAGTCTCTAGATCATCTTTCCATTGTTACATCAATTGCTACTATAAGTGCTCATTCAGAACTATCCTAATCCTTGCAGGGTTAGTCCTTTTTTCCAATAGGTACATCTCTGAGTTGAAACTTCTCCTTTCTCTTCCTTTTCCTTAAAAGGTCCCAAAGGGAACGGATCAGAACTGGGCTCAGAAACTGTACGACCGTCATGGCAGCAGCCAGCACTTTCAGAAACCTCGAATGTCCAACACCTCTTTCATTGTTGTGCATTTTGCAGATAAGGTAATGGAAGTGGGTATGGCATAGGTGGCATCTCATGCCATAGGTTGAATCCTGTTTCGCACCTGCCGGGGGCTTGTGGAGGCTCTGCGTGGGTGTTGCCTGCAGCAGCTGTCAAAAATGTATTTTGCCTCCAGACCGATGAAAGCTCACCCTAATTACAAGTGAGTTGAAAACTGAAGCTCAGGGTGGGATGGGAAGAGAGTTCCAGCTTGCTTTTGTTGCATTGTCATGTCCTATGCTAATGTCCTATAGCTGGAGCCTGAAAAAAATTACGTTTTGTTCTATAACTCCGCAAATGCTCCCATCAGCATGATTTTTTTCAAAAAAGTAACTTTTTCAAGAACTAACTGTGGTGCGTAGTGTTTAACTCAAGGTGGAAAATTGCATTGTTGTCTTCTTTTTTGTCTTTTTCTTGTGTTTTTAATAGCACCTTGACACGTAGGACTCAGCTGCCTATCCTCCTGCTTACATCTTAGTGTCAAAGCACATGGCAGTGGAGCCAGAAAATAGACTAGCAATCTGTCACGTTCTAGGCGGAGTGAAACATTAGGGGTGCAGTCCATCCAGTCCTTCCTCCAGAAGGGTTAGATAAAACACTCAACACCCCCAGTCCAAAAGACCGCAGTCCGCCCCTGCAGTCTGATAGTCAGCAAAGCGTCTCAGTCCCCGAATGAACAGTTGCAGAGTCACGGGCCAGAACTACATGTAACAGAAAACCTGAAGTGAATTCACAGCGACGTCAGTCACTTTCCATAATGCAAGTCTTGGTGAGGTTTAAAAATGGCACCATTGGACACTTTTCAAAACTGCACCAGGGCTTACTGTCACTGGCCAGCCAGGGCTGAGAGGCTCCCGGCCACTTAAGTGCTGGGGTCAGGGCATCAAAAACTGCAGCTTTTAGTTTGCATGACTGCCGTGATAATAGAAGAGGGAGGCAAGTAAAAAAGATAATAGTTTTCAACCAGATTGAATGTAGAAATCTAGAGCAAGCTATCTGAGCTTTCCATCATAGACACAGATTGCAGGGAGTGTTAGAAAGATAATATTTTTGAAGACATTTGTAAGAATATAACCTACCAATTACAATAGATCATTATTGTAAACAAAAAAAAAGTTCTGGATGTATTGACTGGGGGGGAAATCTGTTCTAACTCTCTCCCTTTTTATTCTGTAATCTGTCCTAGGTGGAATACCAGTGTGATGGATTTCTAGAGAAGAACAGAGATACTGTGCACGAAGAACAGATCAATATACTGAAGGCCAGCAAGGTAACATTTGAAATAAGTAAAGAGTTAAAATTTGGTCTCTGGCATTTATATGATCATTGCTGAAGTGCTTCTTCTTCTGTTTCACTCTTCATGATTCACTTAAGATTGAACTCTAGAGAAGAGCTGTCCATCATGATTGACTCAAAGTAGGTGCGAAGTCCCCTCAGCTTAGCACAGCCTTTGATACAATTCCTTAAGAGGAGTTTCTCATGGCCGTAGAGAGGCCTGGGAGATGACACAGTCTTCACCAGGAAGAACTGTAGTTCAAATGATAGCACACATGGTTTGTGTGGATTCAGTCTCCTGCATTTCCCAGTAGCACCAGGAAAAACCCTGCCTGGGCAGCTGTTGCCGGTCAGAGCTGACACACCTAGCTAGATGGCCCAGGGGTCTGACTCAGGAATCTGGCAGCTTCCTGTATCCCACCATTATCTGAACCATTATCTGATGTCACCTGAACCATTATCCCAAGTGAACCAAAGGAAGTTATTTAACATTTCGTTGATTCTGCAGATCATCCCCATGAGGAATGATTGAGGGAACTGGGAATGTTTAGCCTAGTTAAGAGTAGATTACAAGGTGGTATAATAGCAGTCTTCACATATTTGATGGGCCGTGACACAGAAAATGGGGCTAGCTTGTTTGGGGCAGCTCCAGAGAATAAGACCTGAAACCATGGATGCCAGTTTTAAGAAAGGAGATTTTGCTTGATTAAGATGAATTTCTTGATAGTAATTGCTGCTTGACGGTGGAACAGACTGTCTTGCAGAGCAGTGGTTTTTTGAACAGAGGTTGGATTTAATAGGAATGTTTCAGCCATTAATTTTCTCCATGCGGGTCAAGCGTGTGTGGATTCTACAGTTCTGTAATTGTATGATTCTAACCATGAGGCCGTCGCTTTGTCTTTTAAGGGGAAGAGGGTCTTTTTCTGCTGCTGATTCCTTCTTTGTTGCGCTCTTGGCACTTGTTAGTGTTTCTTGTAGGCATACAGGTAGAATAGCTTATTAAAAGTGCCCCAGTAATTTTGAAAAAAGGGACACTGTGTAAAAGTTACAATCTATGCATTCGTTTGGAAGGTTTGGTTCAAGTCAGCTCATATTAGAATTTGCAAAGATCAGATATTCTTAATATCCTTAATCCAAAAGGGGCCTACATATTGATCACATAGTTACATGCTATCTGACAATATTTGGAGGAGGAGGTAGAAAATAGTTCTAAAGAGCTTGGGTCTGTGCCTCCCATTATGAGCCTCCTCGAGTGTTAAGATCAACAGGAGAAGCCTTCCTCTCGGTCCCGCCACCTTCACAGGTGCATTTGGTGGCTGCTCCTTTAGACTCTGGAACTCCCTCCCACAAGAGGCCAGGCTGGCCCCATCTTTGCTGTCTTTCCACAAGCAGGCAAAGACCTTTCTCTTCAGGCAAGTTTTCCCTGAGTGACTGGCTGCCTGACTGAAGTTTTTAAACAGATGGTTGTGCCTTACCTCTTTGAATATGTTTTTGGTATTGCTTTTGTTTTCTGTCTTTTTGTATGGTATTTGTTTGCTCCTTTTTAGTATTTGAGGTAAACTGCCTTGGGTTTCTCCTTAAAGAGAAAAGCAGGGTAAAAATATTATTAACAAACAAACATGCAAGTGGGCCATAGACCACTCAAAGCTCCTTGTGTTGTTTTATACATTTTTTTAAAGGGTATCTCTGTTTAAGGCTGATGCATTTTCCCCAGAGCTGTGTGTTTGCTTTGTCAGGATCTTGTTTATCTCTCAGTTGTTGTTTTAACAGGAGCACCTCAGGGGCAAAAGTTCAATGAGAACTCCTGGGAAATCAACCAGAGCAGGAGAGGGGTGGGCAAGAGGTGGCGACAGTGGCAACGGGAGGCTTTCTCCAAAGATCCAGGGACCCCGAGTGCATGAAGCAGATAACACTGTTATCTGTGGCAGGTTAATTTCACATCATTGTTAGGCTTCAGGTACATCAGGGAAAAGAAGCAGCAGGGTAGAAAGAACCCAAGGCCAAACAAAGAACACTAAATGGGTTTTGTGACATTCTGAGCAGGATTCTGTTTGGTGGCCCTATCCAAGGGACTCAGTACGCGAGATATCTCTGGCAGGACAAAATTATTTTTCCCAAATATCCTTTGTTGTTATTTTTGTTGTTGTTGTTGTTGAGAATATCCTTTGTTGTTCCCTCTTGAAGTAGAGTCAGGAAACCTGGAGCTCTCCGGGTATCATTTGACTTTAGTCTTCTTAATCCCTGACAATTTGCCTCACTGGTTTAGATTTATGGGAATAGGAATCTTACAATTTGCAGAGGGCTACCCGTTCCTTGTCGCTGTTGTTAGTATGTTTTGCTGTGTTATTCCCTCTTGTAGCAGAGTCAGGAAACCTGGAGCTCTCTGGGTATCATTTGACTTTAGCCTTCTTAATCCCTGACAATTGGCCTCACTGGTTTAGATTTATGGGAATACTGTAGGAATCTTACAATTTGCAGAAGGCTATCAGTTCCTTGTCGCTGTTGTTAGTATGTTTTGGCAAGAGTGGCAGCCGTTGTTAACCTGCTCCAGTGAAAACAACAAAACACCATAAGTCCTAGCAGGTGATATTTGACATAATTTAAGAGTTGCCGCCCGTAGTGGGTTCTATAACAGGAAAAGGATTTCGGGCTATCCCAACCCATTGGCTTCCCCGCAATAAACTTACGAGTTTATTCAAATATGGAGCACATAGGAAAATGTGAATGATAACGGTTAACGAAGTGGGGAACGTGTGTGATGTTTGGATCCCTTCCAGGAAGCAACACAAAGACCTGGCCTACAAGCAGTTCAATAGGGCATGAAGTGACACCCATATGTTGAAGCTCATGCCAAATGCAATGTGTTAGTCTTTAAGCTGCCACAAAATTCTTTGTTTTCTTGACACTGTAGTGACTCTAACCCAGATCCTCCTACTTTAGCTGAAGGATTGTGTAACCAGAAAAGGGCAAACCCTACTCAAGTGGAGCAACGTCTCCATTAAGAAGCCTGCTTTCTCCTTTTGAAAAATCACACAGTACTAAACTGTAATTTAACATTATGTTTAGAGGTGGGGGTATTCGTAAATGAATACAAATATCCCCCCACAGGTAGAAATAATCTATTGTCTGCAATAGATTAGCCACTCCTGGCAGGAGGCGGGATGACAAGCCTCTCTACCAGGTCGCAGAGTGGCTAATCCATCGTGAAGAACGACGTGATAGGAAGGCTCTTTTGAGCGCGCATGAGTGGGCAGTCCAGCCCCATGGGTTCATACCCTTATTATTTCCACCTGTGGGGGGATATTCGTATACAAATACCCTCTAATTATGTCTTAATCCAGTCAGTGTTGTAACTGGCTGGGTAAGGTAGCCTTACATGTGTTTAAAAAACAACAACAAGCCTGAACTCAATATGATAGAAATCCCTGAATTATTTGGTAAATGGCCAGAAGCAATCGAGAATAAATAATTTGTACAAAGTGTGCTGCTTATATACTGCCCCATAGCACTTAAAACACTCTCTGGGCAGTTTACAATTTAATTATGCAAGTTACAAGTTAATTAGGGTACATTTTGCCCCCCTCCCCCCGGGTACTCATTTTACCGACCTCGGAAGGATAGAAGGCTGAGTCAACCTTGAGCCGGCTACCTGGGATTGAACCCCGGGTGGCTGCAGTACAGCAGTTTAACCACTGCACCACGATGCTCCTCCTTCTGTACAGAAAATACGAGAAATGTTGCAAAATTTGATGGAACCTCCCCAAGCATAAGACCTTTCGTCCCTAAAATATATGCCAATAAGTTTGTTTATAACGCAGTGTCAAATCTAAATTGGATTGTAAGCAATTTTCTCTATGAAAGGAATGATATTCATTCAATTCACTTGGCAGACAGCATTTCTAAATTGTTATACATTCCCTTAAGATCACAGAACACAAAACTGAGGAAATGAAGAAAAACATACAATAAACCTGCCTTGCAATTAAGACTAGAATGAGATGTAAGATTGTTGAGGCCAAATAGGAAAAACAATTGCTTTTCTCCCTATTGTAAGGGGGAAAGATATAAGGGTTGTCTTTGAAAGCTTAACATCATGTTTGAAACACTGTCACTGAATAAGGCTCAGCATCTTAAACTTGCAGACTATCTTTACTCACTGAAACAGAGGCTTAAGGTAAATGCAGCCCAGTTTGATTCTGTGTCCTACTCATAGCTTATTGAAATTTTGAGGATTTACAGAATTGATTAAAGAATTATTACTTTACCATCTAAATTCAAGATAAAGTAGAGGACAAAATTAAGGTGCAGAGACCTATCTAACAATATCCTTCTCAGAAGGTATTTTTCAGGATAATTCTTTGAGCACTTTGTTGTTCTGTCTGGCTTTAAATCTCCTGTGTAATTACTAGAAAAACAGCCTTGATGTTTCACACCTAATGTAGATGAAGGGTATTAAATTGTATGCAAGCTCTCATGAGAAACTGGAACAGTCTCTTAGACATTGTTAAGTCTTACAACAGAGATACCAAAATGAACTTTGATGTTGATAAATGTGCTCTTATCCATATGAAAAAAAAGCAAATTCTCAGAGGGCAATATTAAATTACTAATGGATAGTCTATTCAGTGCTTTGGTGAGCAGAAAACCTATAAATATCTAGGCATCCATGAAAATCTCAGTATAAATCACAGAGAACTTAAGTCCTTAGTCAGGAAAAAATGCTTTGATAAGAATGAAGGTGATACTCAAAAGAGAACTCAATGCAAGTGTAAATATTACTGCTGTCAATACTTGGGCAACAGCAGTACTAGTGTATTATTTTGGAGTTGTGGATTGGACATACAGTAATCTTGCTAATTTAAATAGGAAACCCGAGTCCTCCTGTCAAAATACAGGTACCATTATCCATAAGTGTTTACAGAGCACCTTTATTTGCCACAGAGCATGGGCAGGTATGGGCATATTGAAACTTTGTCAAACTTTGAAACTACTTCCATGGAAACAGGATTCCACTTTATCAGATTATAGTAGAAAATGAGAAAGGGATATCAGTATTAAAACCTGCAAATGAGAAATCACTTACGTTAACGAAAATGCTGCAGTGCAGTGAGAAACCATTACCCGGGCAGCTCCCCAGTTACCTCCTGGATGATAATGCTGATAAGCAACAATCAAATCTGCAGTTTAAATTAAGCTATATTCAGGGATTGATTTGCACAATCCAGGGCCAAGTTATTTCTACTAGATGCTGCCAGAAAATAACTATGAAGCAAGGTGTAAGTGATGTATGTATGGCCTGTCACAAATCTAAAAAACATTTCAAAGTCTCATAGGAGGATGTTCTAAACCAGTATCAAGGGATTATATGTGTTGTTGTTGTTTAGTCATTAAGTCGTATCCAACTCTTCATGACCCCATGGACCAGATTATGGCAGCCCCTCCTGCCTTCCACTACCTACTGGAGTTGTGTCAAATTCATGTTGGTAGCTTCAGTGACACTGTTCAACCATCTTGTCATCTGTCGTCCCCTTCTCCTCTTGCCTTCACTCTTTCCCAACATCAGGGTCTTTTCCAGGGAGTCTTCTCTTCTCATGAGATGGCCAAAGTATTGGACGGTCAGCTTCAGGATCTGTCCTTCCAGAGAGCAAGAGCACTCAGGGTTGATTTCCTTCAGAATGGATAGGTTTGTTCTCCTTGCAGTCCAGGGGACTCTGAAGAGCACAGCACAGCAATTCAAAAGCATCAATTCTTCGGTGGTCAGCCTTCTTTATGGTCCAGCTCTCACTTCCATACAGGAAAAACCATAGCATATGTGTAGGCGTAACCAAATTGCAAAGGTCAAACAGTAGATGACCTCTTATAGATTCCGCACATCTTTTCCTCCATTTTATTTTATTTATTTATTACTTTGGTTTATATACTGCCTATTAGTGCCAGAGCATTATTCTACACAGAACTAAATGCAATGTAAATAGCAAAAACAGTCTAAAAACATAAACAGCAGTGCAATTGGTTTTCATAGTGAGGCAAGACTGGAGGAGAGACATTCAGCTGGGGTCACCGTGAAAGGCCTACCTGAATAGTAATGTTTTTAACTGCCTCCTAAATGAGTATGGGCGGGGGGAGGAAGCATAGCTCCTCTGGGAGTTAATTCCATAACATAGAGAATAAATAAATTATTTATTATAAATCCCAGCCACTTTCAGTTTTAGAAAGTGAAATCCCAACAGTATTTTGGCTCAGACAAGTTATCAAACATGAAACATACGCCAGAAATTATACTTCTGAATAGGCAAAAAAGAAAAAAAAGGCATACCATATAGAAGTTGGAGTTCCATGAGCAAGCAACTTCAAAATTACAGAAATTACAAAAATTGCAAAGTACCTAACATTAAAGTAAGAAATCAAAAGACTATGGAAGCAATATTGGGTCGTCATCCTCCCCCCATACTAATCAATTCCAGCAACTGGAGTAATTCCAAAAATTTTGTTTACCAATTTAAAAATTGACAATCACTGCTAATTTGCCTCCTGAAATTAAAAAATCAGTAATTTTGCAAACCATCTCATCTCACCCACAGATTTTTAGTACTTGACTCTTAATGTTTAGATTTGACCCTTTGGTCCACCTCCATGCACTAGCAATGTCGAGAAATAAGAACTATCATCATCTCCCAGTAGTTTCCCCAGTATATCCTTATATCTGATTAGAGACAGCAGAATCCATCCAAAGAAATATACGGAGTCTATATTATGTAAGTCATGGATTTTTCTGTGGGCTTTGGCAGGAACAAATTAAGATCTCTCTATGGAACTACTGTGTTTCCCCAAAAATAAGACAGGATTTTATATTAATTTTGGGGGCTTATTTTCAGGGGATGTTTTATTTTATTTTCATGTACAACAATCTAATTTATTGAAACACAGTCATGTCATCTTCTTCTGGTTGCTGCACAAGGGTGGAGGACAGGGTTTCACTTAACTGGGGATTATTTTTAGGGTAGGGCTTATATTATGAGCATCCTGAAAAATCCTACTAGGGCTTATTTTCAGGTTAGGTCTTGTTTTCGGGAAAACAGGGTAAGAGATGGCTTATCTGAAGGTGTGAGCATAAGAGAGGCAACCTGGAGGCAGGAGATAGACAGACAAAAGAATTCTGTGCAGCTGAGTTTAAAATAACACCCAGCAGGCATAAAACAAATACACCGTCATGTGTCTGACCAGAGGATAATATAATGCAAACAGATTCTTTTCTCGGTGGTATTTTGACTGATATGCAAACAAGGTTAAGCCAATTAATCTCTTGGAGGAGCTGGTGAGAAATCAGGCACATAATGAAGGCAATACTGGGGTGATGCTGCTTTACTTCCTTGTAATTCTAGCGTGTCTCTTGGGCTAGTGTTTCAAAATGGGGCTAACCACAGTTTCTTTCGTGACAGAAGTCGTGCCTAGTAGAGAATATGTACAGGGGTTGCTGTAGTACAGGGGTGAGCAATTAATTTCTATAGGGGGCCACATGAAAAATCAGTTCGGGGGGCCGAACCTTTACTTAAAAATAAAATGAAAAAGTGATGTTATGGTTGTTTTTATTTTAAACTTGTTAATCTTCACAAATACAAAAGAGGTTTTTTTGCGGTATGTTAAAGATAAGCAACTGATCAACTTTAAACAAAAAGCTATAGTTTTGTCAAAACTAAAAGAGTGATAGTGAATAAAACATTATATATATATAGTGGTGCCCCGTTAGACGCTTACCCCGCATGATGTTTATTACGATGAGTTTTTTGCGATTGCTATAGCAATCGCAAAATGATGTTTCTATGGGTTTTTTCGCTTGACAATGAATAGTTCCCTGCTTCGGGAACTGTTTCTTCACTAGACGATGATTAGAAACAGCTGATCAACGGGTTGCAAAATGGCTCCCTGCTGTTTTCAGGACTGATTCTTCGCTACACAGGCATACCAAAATGGCCGCCCTATGGAGGATCTTCGCTGGATGATGAAGTATTTCCCCCATTGGAATGCATTGACCGGTTTTCAATGCATTTCAGTGGGTTTTTTTTTCACTTGATGACGATTTCACTCTACAGCAATTTTGCTGGAACGGATTATCGTCATCAAGCGGGGCACCACTGTATTAGTAACAATTATATGTAATAACAATCTCAGTTATCCAAATAGTTCTTTATGTAGCCAGAATGGTACAACTAGTGTCCATATGTGCTTAAAAAAACACAGAGAGAGAGAGAGAGAGAGAGAGATCATTATCAGTCTTGGTAAGTCCTTAGGTTTACAGAAACAAAGAAATTATATAAAACAGGACTGAGCATGTTCAGTGACCATGGAATTCTGACTGAAACTGGCAGGAGAGACAGAAAATCAAGGTAGGGGGTTACATGGAATACTCTAGAAAAGGATGTGGCCAAATAGAAGCACTCCACGTTACTTGTACAACCCTCCATAAGGTCCCCTTTGTTTTCTAAAGCACTTTCTGTGGCAAACTGGCTGTCCTTCTCTATAACAGGTGTGTGCAAAAATATTTAATATACAGCCGTCCCCCGCTCAACGATTGCCTCACTTAATGAGGAAATCGCTTTATGATAAGGTTTTTGCGATCGCAATTGCGATCGCAAAATGATGGTCTAAATGGGGGAATTTCGCTTAGCGATGATCAGTTCCCTGCTTCGGGAACCGATTTTCGCTTTACGATGATCAAAAACAGCTGATTGTCAGGTTTCAAAATGGCTGCCAGCTGAAGAAAATGGCCCCCGCTGTGCTTAGGGACGGATTCCTCGCTGCACAGGCATGGAAAATGGCTGACCCTATGGAGGATCTTCGCTGGACAGTGAGTTTTCAGCCCATTGGAATGCATTAACTGGTTTTTAATGCGTTTCAATGGGCTTTTTTATTTCATTTGACGATGTTTTCGCTCTACAGCGGTTTTGCTGGAACGAATTAACATCGTCAAGCAAGGCACCACTGTATTAAAAATGTTGTTCTCAGTGACACAGACTCCAGTAGACATTAAGAATTATTTGTTGTGTTCACCATGGTACTGCTTACATTTTATGTAACCTACTTTAAACATAGTTATGAAAACGATTTGTGCCTGCAAGAGGAAAGAACGTTTATGTTGCTGCATTGCTGTAAGAATTGAAACTCAAAGCCTTTCTCTCTCTTCCCCCCTCCCCCAAGTATCCGATGGTGGCTGATTTGTTCCACGATGAGAAAGACCCTCCACCGGCTGCTCCAGCTGGAAAGGGAACTTCCTCAAAAATCAATATCCGCTCTGCCCGTCCAGCTGTGAAACCAGCCAATAAAGAGCATAAGAAAACAGTGGGACATCAGGTAGAGTGAACATTTTTTTGTTCTCATATTGCAGTGTGCTTAGCCTTGGCCCCAGCGAAAATATAATGTTGTCAGCTAGAGAACAAAAACATTGCTGTATTATTATTATTTTTAAATATATATATACTGTACTCTGATACCATAATTTATAGATTATAAATAGGACTGAAGATAGATTCCCTTATTGTCCTGAGCAGGTGCTATGGTCTTTGCTCTTTCAAAGCTTACAGTTTTCTGTGTCTCAAGGCAGGGAAGTTGGAAGCAAAATTATCCCAGTTCTCCTCCTAAGGCAGTGGTCGTCAACCTTGGGCCTCCATATGTTCTTGGACTTCAGCTCCCAGAAATCCTGGCCAGCAGAGGTGGTGGTGAAGGCTTCTGGAAGTTGTAGTTCAAGAACATCTGGAGGCCCAAAGTTGAGGACCACTGTCCTAAGGGATAGTTTGCCTGGGTGAGCACCAGGTCGGTAGGGGAGGGCCTGGTCAAGAGGCCTCCCTGTTGGGATCCTTGATGCTACCCTCTGTCCTTCCCCACGTTTACTTGAAGACAGGCGGTGGTATGGCCAGAGGGCATTGCCACAGCAGATCCTGGCCTCCTGTCTATTCATCTGTTTTTACAGAAGATACGTAGTTCTGCAAAGAGGAGCACCAGGCTCAGCATCTTTGTAGAGTTGGAAAAGTTGCTTTTTAAGACTGTCATTCTCAACTCCCCTCAAAGCCTTGCCTGTTGCCCATACTTTCGCCCTATCTGGAGTAAAGGGATTTTTGAAACCACGGATTGGCATTAGCCTGAGACTATCATTGCCTACAGAGTCCCTTCCCGTGCTTGGGGGGGAGGTATCAGCAGGCTTGTGGAAATCCCCCGGTTTTCAGATGTATAGGAAATCTAAGAGGAGAGCCCTCAGAACAGCCTAGTGAGGCCTTTTCTGAACCCAAGCCATTGCTACACTTTTATAGATTTATTGCTGTGTGAGCTTTCATGGATTACAATCCAATTTCACCTCCTTAGTACAATATTTAGGCCACAGATTATACATACAGCGCACATGCTTTTAGACTGAAATTGAGTGAACTGGGATATGAACTTGTAAACTGACAGTTATTAAAACAGGTTATGAACCGCCAACATATTGATCACATAAAATTGTCCTGACAATTTTATGCAGAGTGAATCACAAAGGTAAATTCTCTGCTTTTATATGATGGTCAAGCTCTTGTGTTTGATATGTTGCAGCCATGACTTTTGTTTTCACTTATGCTGAGGCCAGAGTTTGGTCAAAAGGAGTAACTTTGTGGCTATGAGCAGGACCATAGTGAGGGCTGTGTATGTTCACTGGCCATATAATGTTGACTAAATATAGCAGCACTGGGGGGAGGAAAGCACAAAAATCAAGTCGGAAGGAGAACTAAACGACTAGACTCCCAGAATAGTTTGTTGCAAGCTCCACTTGTTTGGCTAAAGGTTGCAAGCTCCACTTGTTTGCCTAAAGGTTTCGTCTCTTTATCTGTCCATTCCAGTTCCGTAACTCCTTACATTTGCTTATGGAGACTCTGAATGCCACCACTCCCCATTACGTGCGCTGCATCAAGCCAAATGATGAGAAACTTCCCTTCAGGTAAGTACTGCTCTTTGATAAAACAAAGCCACCAATAGCGTGTTGGAAATCCATAGCAAAGCATGCCATGAAATTCATCATTTGGCTGGCAGTGTTGTACAGTGATCTTCCTTTATATTGTCACCATAATGGTGTATGGTTTATAATTAGGATTCAGTCTTTCCCAGACAGCTATCAAACAGCATTTTAAACTGGAGATACCAGAAATTTAGCTTGTTACCTCCTGCAGTTAAATAATATTTCTAGCCGTAAGCTATGGCCTTTCACTAAATAATGACTATATGGTAGAAACCCCTTATCCATGGGATCAGTATCCAGTGATTCACTTATCCACAGCCTGAAAATATTAAAAAATATTAAAAGAAAAATCTGAGAAATATATATTTCTAAAGATGAAGTTACTAGAACTGACCACTAGAAGGAGACAGAGGCCATGTTGTGTATAGCGTCTGCTAGAAAAACGTATTTCCATGATTTCATTATCAAAACTGGCCACTAAGAGGGAGCCAGAGACTATGCTATGAATACAATTCCCAATTAAAATAGTGTTTAATATCCATGTTTTTCATCATCTTCTGGGGTGGTGGTGCTTGGAACTGATCCCTCATGGATATGGAGCTCCTATTGTATCTGTTTTTTTTTTTAAAGGAAAATTTGAGGCATGAGTTTTGATAGGAATGGGGATTGTCCACATGCAGCAACTATTGTCCCCATGGCATAATGACTACAATTCCCAATTAAAATAGTGTTTAATATCCATGTTTTTCATCATCTTCTGGGGTGGTGGTGCTTGGAACTGATCCCTCATGGATATGGAGCTCCTATTGTATCTGTTTTTTTTTTTAAAGGAAAATTTGAGGCATGAGTTTTGATAGGAATGGGGATTGTCCACATGCAGCAACTATTGTCCCCATGGCATCTGCCTTTCCCTGATGCCTTTTTTTTCCAAAAAAGATGATCACACATACCCAATGGCAACAAAAAGCACCACTTTAACTCCATTGGACCCACACGCTATTTAAAGGCCTAAATAGCTTCCCCCCCCCCTCCAATGACTGGTCACTTTCAGCTTTGGAAAAGTTGCTACAGATCCTGGATTTTACATGGTTTAGACAATCCTAGGTTGGATGAAACAGTGGTACAAAGAAGCTCGAAGTAGAAAAATCTCGCCGATGCACAAGTTCTGTCCTCAGTCTCTATTTGGAAGGTTGAGACTCCCTAAGGCCAAAACTCATTTCTCTTACCCTGTCACATTACTACCTAAATTAAGGCTATTGTAATAGGCAGGGGAAGTTCTGTTTACTTTGAATAATGTAGAAAGAGATGATGATGGTGATGATGATTATGATGACAATTGCAGAAGACTATAGAGAATATTTGGGTCATCACACTCATGTTGAACAATTCCCAGGAGAATTTCTAGTTCCTGTTTTCAAAGCACCTGCCCTTGCTGTAATTATTATTATTATTTTAAAACAGCAGTCTTGTGACACCTTAGACACTCACAAAATGGTTGACACAAGACGGTAACAGACGAACCTGGCCATCCATCTAGAAATAATAAAGAACATATCCTAGCTGGACTGGCGCTCCTTTGCTAGCGTTGCTGTAGTATTTTTTTATTTTTTAAATTTATTTATTAGATATCTACCCCGCCCGCCCCCCTAGACAGCGTCTACTAGTACATTGCTGTGTCCCTTCCTCCCACCTCATCACAGACATAATGTTTTTTTCTTGTTTTTTTTTTTAAAATGTATCATTTCAATGAGAATTTATGGTTGCAAAGGCTGATTCTTTCACACAAACCAATAAAACAACCACACTGTGAAATGCAGTGGAAAAGAGGCAGGAGCATTATATGGGCTGTGAAAGGAATGTGCTGTGGGGTTACAGAAAAGAGGGCATCGTTCCTATTGGCTGATGCGGCAACTCAGTTTTGATGGATATATGGATCATTTCGCTGACACTTGATCATACACAGATCTTCATTGCATGTATATTATTAAACAACCCTTCCCTTGATACATCTTTGGAACCGGTGCTCCTTTACAATCAGCTGCTTTAATGCAGTGAATGTTGCAAAAATGTTTTAGAAAGCAAAACTTGTTTTATATACAATATACATATTTACAGAAACAATATTTTTCAGTACATTTGCTGTATCTTGCTTCATTGATCTCAAAAACTTCCATACTATTTAACCATACATGTTACATGTATCACCCTATTATGGCTTTTGGTCAACATGGTTAATCCACGCAACGGAATGAGCACCCGTCGCTTGTCCCAGCTCCCGCCAACCTAGCGGTTCGAAAGCATGCAAATGCGAGTAGATAAATAGGGACCACCTCGGTGGGAAGGTAAACAGCATTCCGTGTCTAAGTCGCACTGGCCATGTGACCACGGAAAGATTGTCTTCGGACAAACGCTGGCTCTATGGCTTGAAGAGCGGGATGAGCGCCGCCCCCTAGAGTCGGACACGACTGGACAAAAATTGTCAAGAGGAACCTTTACCTTTACCTTTTATCTATGTTCATTTCTACTTTTTTAATGGAATAGTATCTATGTTCATTTCTAATTTTAGGGTTACCAAGGATCACGTTATATTCAATCTCTAGATTAAATCAGATTAGAGAAAATGCAGCATACGGTCAACTATTATCTTGGGATTCAGTAACAACACATTGCATATAATAAACATATTTCTCAGTAACAAAACTTTGCATATAATAAACATATTTCTTGACCATTATTCTGTGCTTTTCTACATTCTCAAATCTGAGGATAATACATTAATGTAGACAACATTTTAAATGTCCCAAATCTCATGAAACCAGTCTGACACGGAGCAGTAACTTTCTGTTTAAAACTGGCAATAGATACCTTAACTGCTACTGTTGTTTATTGTTACTGAAATGGCACACATGGATGCTCACACATACACCAGCCCAGAGATCTGCTCCTTCCTAAAGGAACACACCAAATGCCAGTTCTTACTTATTTAACTTCATGATAATGTAATGGATCACTTCCTGCAGGCTTGACAGCTGTGATGAATTTTATAATGAAGCAAGTTATCAGGAAGAGCTGTAGTTCTTTTCTGGTACTTATGCATTCAGGTCTGGTCAGAATGGCTCACTGATTCTAGATCTATTACACTTCAAATGTGTAAGAACAAAAAGTACCAGTACACCTTCACCCAAATTTCTTCCTACAGCCTTTTTTCTCATGTTGAGCTGTGTTTTGGAAGGGATCGTAGTCTGGAGCAGAGTTTGGAAAGTTGTTTAAAAGTAGTTTGTGGATACAGTCTAGCATTTTTTTAAAGCTGTGCAACCAAAATCTCAATAGCCACGATAAAGTCCTGCTTCTATTTAAGAATGAACAAGCAAGAACACATTACAGTGTTTGAAAAGCAATCCATTGCTGTTATTTAACTGCAGTATTGGGGGAAAAAAGCTCATTGCATTACCTGTGCTCCTAATCGCTTTTCCATTGCTTGTTTTAAAAGCAGAATCGAAGAAACAAATGCATAAAACTTGAAAAATCCCTTTGTCAAAAGAGCTGAAAAATGCCTTTTCATGCCCTTTTGGAGTAACTGTTGCAGGTGCTAGAAACTATTTCACCAATAAAGTATCACATTACCTTATTATAGCCTTTTTACTTGAGAGCATACCTGAGTACAGATAGCTATCTTACATGTAACGTATTGCTTCCAAACTCTTGAATTGAATGAACAGACGAAGTAGCTTTCATAATTAAGAATCCAGGTTTAGCTGGTGTTTTCAGTTCAAACAATCTCAATAGGGCTGCAGATGACCCTCTTTTCCAGATTCTTTTGTAGTGGGAGAAAAGGTCGATAAAAATCATTCTTTTGCCATTTACCTTGTCCAAATATTACCTGGGTTTTTTTTAAACTACTTTTCTCCCTGTCTCAGTTTTTGGGGCTTAATTAATGAGAGAGAAGCATGAGGTAGCGATTAAGACAGTTGAAAGAATGAAGAGAAATGTCACAACAAGGAAATCGGACACCAAACCAAGTGTTGCTAATTCAGTTCGGGCAAATCCATATGATTAGAGAGCTCTTGCCACAGACTGAAGTAGGTGAAAACTGCTATCCAAAAGTAGGGTAATTATAGGTTTCAGTCCTAAATTCAAAGCAACTTCTCATCCACAATCTTTTATCAAGAAGCCATTATCCCTTACCCCCCTCTGTGAAAGGAGAACAAAGACAGAGCGTGCTGTGTGTGATTTAAGAATACTTTAGGCAGATGTACCTTTGTGACTTCAAAACTAGGTTTCTCTAAGCAACAAATGCTCCTGCAAAATCCTTGTTGTACTGCTTTATTTGTGTTTTTTGTCATTCTTGCTGAACTCCAGCCCACCTTTAGAAAAGTGTGAAGCCTTTCCTGAAAAATGCACTATGCTATGGCAATTCTAGCTGGAATTCTCTAGTGAACCGCTGTTGGAAAATAACCCTAAAGAGCAGTGGTTCCCACCCTTGAAGTCCCTAGACGTTCTTGAACTCAAACTCCCAGAAGCCTGCATCACTAGCTATGCTGGCTAGGATTTCTGGGAGTTGTAGTCTAAGAACATCTTCGTACCCAAGGTTGTGAAACCACTGCTATAGAGCCTAGATGGACAGTATGTGACCCTCCAGATGTTGGTAAAGTGCAGTTTCCCATCATTCCTCACCCCTGGTTATACTCGTTAGGGCTAGAGGGCCACACATCCCCAATCCTTCCTCCTGATCAAGATGCATACTTTTGAAATATTCCCATCAGGACATTTAGACTTGTTGTAATGCCACTTTCATGTTGTACCATAAACTCTGCCTTTGCAGCTTTGATCCAAAGAGAGCAGTCCAGCAGCTGAGAGCATGTGGCGTGTTGGAGACCATCCGTATCAGCGCAGCTGGCTATCCGTCCAGGTATTGTACTTCTTGTGTTCCTTTTAAAAATTTGTTCTGTTTCTTTAAAATTGAAGGGGGGGGGACATAAAAGCAAAGAAGAGCTACTAGTGCACACCAGGAGAGCACATCTTATAATAATACTTTATATTGGGGGACAAAGACTTAAGAGCTGAGTTACTGTAAGTATTAGGAAGCTGTTTAATAGTGCATCTCCAGATAGTCAGAACAGCTATACAAAGCAGTGAATTTTGAGCTGTTCTATTGAATGCTTGTTTTCTAAGTGGTTTAGCAAAGGTCTGTCAGGTTTAAGACAATAATGTTCGACAGATTTCCATTGAAGGATGCTTTCACTGTAAGAAAAGCCAGGAAATGGAAATGTCCCCCATCCCCTTATGCGCCACAAATGACTGCTTAAAGCAGCAGAGTGCCAAAAGTAGAAGATTCATAATTCCCTGCTCCAAATTAGGCCGGTTCCTGCCATTCAAGAGAGCCACTGCTGTTCTATAGATCACTCCAAGCAGGCTGCTTTTCAAATGTCTGACTCATTTGAGATCATCCTAGGCATGATCATCCTAAGCATGACCTCCTATATGGCAGCCAGATCACTAACTGGGGCTGGTCCCCGGGACCCCATAACCCACCCACCCCCCGTTAAAGCAGCTCCACTACCTGTCAATCTGTTTCTGGGCACAATTCAAAGTATTGGTCCTAACCTAACCTAAAGCCCTAAATGGCTTGGGCCCAAACTATCTCAAGGACCACCTCACTCTTTATGAGTCTGCTCGAGTGCTAAGATCATCAGAGGAGGCCCTGCCCTTGGTCCCGCCACCTTCACAGGTGTGTTTGATGGGGATGAAAGAGAAGGTCTTCTCTGTGGCTGCTCCCAACCTCTTCCACTCCATCCCACAAAAGGCCAGCCTGGCCCCATCTTTGCTGTCCTTCTGCAAGCAGTTAAAGACCTTTCTCTTCAACCAAGCTTTCCCTTAATTTCTGGCTGCCTGAGTGGGATTTTTAAATGGATTCTTGTGTCTTACTTCATTGGATGTGTTTTGATATTGCTTCTGTTTACCATCTTTTACTGTGATATTTGTTTGATTCCTTTTATTACTTGTATACTTACCGTTTTTAGCTTTAAATATTGTCTTGGAATGCTGTAAGCCGCCTTGGGTCCTTCTTAAGGAGAAAAGTGGGGTAGAAATATTTTCAGTACTTTCCCACCCTTTAGGTGAAATGACCTGAGAAATCACCTGTGCAAAAGCAGTTTCCAGGTCACCTACCTACAATATTTGACTTTTGAAGAACCTTTTAAAGGCAAGTGTTTGGGATGTGACAGACTCAGTGTAGAGCCCTCCGGGCCAGTGATGAAAAGTGGGAGAGTGTGTAAGAATAGAACTTAGCCTTCTGCCTTTGAGAGCATGAGAGCTTAGTCTGTCGACAGTATTTGCATGTGTCCTATGGAATGGGAACCTAAAACTTCACATGTACCATAGAATATACATTGACTTCTCCATAGTGAACAGGCTAGTTGGCATATAAGACTCAGTTCCTTGAGTCAAAACCACTTTTTAATCACTGAGTTCCACAACACTGATTCCTTCCAATATTCTTCTTTTTTTAGTAATACATACTGTCAGCCTTGGAGTGATTATGGTACATTTCAACGAGAAACCCCATCAATACTTATTCTCCCCTCCCCCCTTTGTGATCTAAAGGTGATGTCCTCAGTTTTTTTGCTTCTTCCCCTCTAAAATCTCATACTTGCTTTACATTTTGGACAGTAAAGCTTGCAATACTTGAATTAAAGTCTCAAAAAGAGCAGATCCGGCTTTCTGTCACACCATGCATTCTCTATATCAGCATCTTCATACCCCCACATCCAATATCGTCTTGCTTTGAGCCTTGTGACGCAGTGGTTAAACCGCTGTACTGCAGCCAAAACTGTGCTCACGACCTGGGGTTCTATCCTTCCGAGGTCGGTAAAATAAGTACCCAGCTTGCTGGGGGGGGGGGCAATGTGTAGCCTGCATAATTAACTTGTAAACTGCCCAGAGAGTGCTTAAAGCATTATGGGCACGGTATATAAGCAGCACACTTTGCTTTGCTTTGCTTTGTGTTTAGTGTGTTTTGCAGCATTGGCCTTTTTTGCATCTGGAATTTGCATCCTAATGCCTCCATCTCTGAAAATATAAAAGAAACATTTCCAGGCAGGGTAAAATTTACACATCCTGAATGTAAATCAGATATAAAGATGCCAGAAGCAAGTAATCTCTGGGGGGAAATGTCTCTGGCTTTATGGCCAAGTCGTTTTATGTTTTACTGCCAGCATAACAATCAACTTCATCATCGGCAACAATGGGCTTATAAATATAAGGCTGTTCTAATAGCGCATATCACCCATGTCACTCTCCTTGTTACTTCTCCTTTGGTTCTGTCCCACAGTGTTAAGGGTCTACTGTAGAGCATTCTCTATGAAATGCCATGGATACGTATTATTCAGTCAACCTCAACCTCCTTTTATTGCTTCTTGTAATGGGCCTTCACTGGTGATATTTCATGTGTCGGTAGATGGGATCAGTGAGGACCGCTTTTCTCGCATCACTTTTGAAAGGGGAGCCTAGCAAAGCTACTTTAGTTGTGGCTATTGTCAAGGCCTGGTATTGTCGAGCAGCTGCCAAGATCCATACTTTCTGGCCCATCACTGACTCCATACCTTTGTCAGCCCCGCCTGACCTCACTACCTACCCTCTTTGGAGTTGCAGTTGCTCCCTCTTGACTAGAGCAAAGGTTCCTAACCTTGGCTAACCCAGACATTCTTGAACTACAGTTCCCAGAAGCCTTCACCAGCAGCTGTGCTAGCCGGGGTTTCTGGGAATTGCAGTACAAGAACACGCGGGTTATCCAAGGTTGAGAGCTGCTGCACTAGAGTGTCAAGAAGTGACATTCTTGGACTGCAACTTCCAGAATCTCTCATCCAGATTGGCAGCCACATTGCCATTAGCCATGCTACATGGAGGAGTCTGGGAAATATGTTCCAGAAATGTAGCTTCTTCAAGCTCTGAGATTTACCTTCTTTTTCCAAGTAAGCAACAAATGAGGAGGTAGAGTCCCGCTCTTGCCTCATGGTTTACTTTTAGGCAACTGAAGGAGTATCAAGGAAGAAAGGGGCATATAGGTTAGTGTCCCGCTCTTGCCTTGTGGTTTACGTTTAGGCAACTGAAGGGAGTATCAAGGAAGAAAGGGGCATATAGGGGCCTTCTTGCCCCAAGGGGGTCTCCCAAAACCTATAGCCAGTACTGCCCCTCTGCCTATGGGTCTGTGCAGAGGCCATCACCTGCTTGGCTTTGGAAACTTTACCTACATGCATCATGACAACTTCTATACTGCAACAATTATAATCTGGGAGCTGTATTTCCAAAAATTAACTTTTTCCTAGCTCTGTGCATACTTCTTCTCCGGGACTGTTGGAGGATTGGAGGACAGGAGTCTGAATTTGTATGATGTGATAGTAGAGGCCTAAAAGGGCAGGATAAAGCGGTGTATAAGGAGCAGAGGTGACATCATTATTTTCTTTCTTTTCTTTTTCTTTTTCTTTACAAGAGCTTTGGAAGGAGATAAGTGCTGTTCAGCATCCCAGCAATGTTCAGCTACTACTGCTAGCTTAGGACTGTCTCAAAAAGTCAAACATAGCGATAGTTATTGGAAGCTGGAATCATGTCAGTCTTCCAGAGATACTATTTCAGCAGAGCTTCGTATCTGAGCAGTGATGCTTGCCCGTTAAGCCATGTAACCTTCTGATGACCAAATAACAAAATACAGCAAGCTGATTTGCAAACGGTGGGTGGTGCGAGAAGCTCCAGCTGCGACAAGCAGACGCCTTTTCCCTGTTCTAATAACAGGCTATCTATAATGTATATTTTGCCTTCATGTCAACTATACATAGAAAGATGAAGGCATAAATCTTGGTGGTACCCGATTAGGGAGCAGTGCAGTGGGGTATTTGGAAAATGGGACAAAGGACCGCTGGGTGGGAGGAGAATCCCAAGGAATGTGAGTGATAGTGTTTGTCAGAAAGAAAAGTTGGCTAAGGTGCTTGTATGTCTTGACCATCTTTCTACAAGAGCCTTATACTGTATATAAATCCTATAAAAATAACTACCCTGCAAAAAGTGTCTTTCGAGACTGCTTTTCCCCTTCCTCAAAGAGCACGGTAGGGGAAGGGCTCTGCTGAATAAAACATCAAGTCACCAAAGATGTTCAAAGCTTGGTTCCTAAGTTATAGATCAACCCATTTAAATCTGCAGTTCATAAGGAGTTCCAGCCATAGTACCAGACTAGCAGAATAGAAGGCTGTTAGTCATGCTTTGCTTCTCGCAATCCACAAGAACTATACGATCAAGTTCAGCAGACCTCTCACAGGAAATTATATTCTTCCCCGCCCCGTCATCTGGAGTTCTGTCCTTATTGTTTCTTCATACTCTTGCCATTACTGTTTTACACCCTTCCGAAAACCAGCAAGAGGACCCAAATGCCTGCCAGAAATACAGAAGGGGGGAAATACACTGATTTAAGATTTGATTCTGTTTATTAGTCGAGGCTCACGCCCCTCTTAACAAGGTGGGCCTCTAAGAATAAGAGCACCACTATGATCAAGCAGAGTAGTCTTCCAGCAAGCAGGCAGGCAGGTTCTGTGCCTCTTTGCTTGAATGCCATCTTGGGGAGGACCCCCTTTTAGCCCCAGAACCCAATTCAATTTTAGAGAAATTCTCAAGGACAGGCTTCCGTTAGTGGGCAAAGCAAAGACAAAATGGAGGGCCCCAAACTAGCAGCCTATACTTGTTTCAAGCTCTTACTGCCAACCACTAAGCATTACAAGAGAGATTTCAGATGCCCAATGGAAAAAAGAGAATGGATGGGTGGGTGGGGGAAGCCTTGAATAACATTTGGGAAACTATTTAATATATTATCTTGGGGAAGGGAGTATGATAGGCTAGTTATTTACACATCACTGGAAAAGGATG